ATAGTCTGCACCCCACTAGTACTGTCCACCTTTATCTCTATTTGTTGTACTGACCCTGGTCATTAGAAACACCCCTAAAAGTTCGTTTTTTGACAAAAAATTTAAAACTTCTGTAATTTCATTTCTGTTTTAGTTACGCATTTGATTTTTGGTATGCGTATAGAAAATCGATACGGCTTTAAAATGAGATGTTCGGCGACATCCAAGCTCACTCACTAGACTCAGTAGGAGTGATTTAACTGCGAGGGACAATTGAGGCTAACAAATTAGCCTCACCACTTTCAAAAAAGAACTTTCTCATGTTACGTCCATGATATCCAAGTTGCAAGTATAATCCATAGTGATTATACTTGATCGAGATCTAAGCTTTGGGGGTCGTTGACGTTCAGCTAAGGATCCTGAGTGGTCTATGCAGCCCCCCGGTCTACTCAGCCGAATACTCGAGAAATCGGGTGTGAGGGTTAAATGAGGAGCTGCACATTGCAGCAAAGTCTCGGGCGAAGAAAGTATGGTACACACTACCTTAACCGTCACTGGCTAAAAAAAACAAATCCTTCGGCTTCCTGTAATTGGCTGGTTGCACTTGTGTAACAATGTGGCTGTTGGAATACTCCGAAGTAAAATAAGTGTCTTGATAAAAAATAAAAAAAAGGTGAAAATGAGGCTAACCACCTTTTGAGAGGGTGAAATGAGGCTAACAAGTATACTTTTGTTTATATTTTCGAGTTGGTTCGGTATTGTGACTATCTAATATGTCAACAATAAAGATTGATTCATCCTCTTCAAACTCAACATTTCAGAAATCGCTGAGTCTACTTGTAGGAGGCCAAAATGAGGCTAATAAATAATTCGACCGCATTTTAACTTTAATGTACGGAAACAGGTTAACAGCTCACACGTTACTTGATATCCATGTTGCACATGCAATTCCTTGGGATTATATTTAATCGGTATTTAAGCTTCAAATATTCGAGGTGAAAATGAGGCTAATCACCTTTTGAGAGGGTGAAATGAGGCTAAAAAGTATACTTTTGTATATATTTTCGAGTTGGTTCGGTATTGTGACTATCTAACACGTCAACAATAAAGATTGCGATTCATCCTCTTCAAACTCAACATTTCAGAAATCGCCGAGTCTACTTGTAGGAGACCAAAATGAGGCTAATAAAAAATTCGACCGCATTTTAACTTTAATGTACGGAAACAGGTTAACAACTCACAAGTTACTTGATATCTATGTTGCACATGAAATTCCGTCGGATTATAGCTTCAAATTTTTGAGGTGAAAATGAGGCTAACCACCTTGTGAGAGGGTGAAATGAGGCTAACAAGTATACTTTTGTGTATATTTTCGAGCATGTTCGGTATTGTGACTATCTAATGTGTCAACACCGCATTTTAAGTTTTAACTTTAATGTACGGAAAAATGTTATAGACCCACTATAAAACTTGTAATTGTAGCCCGAAGGTTATTGAGACTTTATCGAAACTTATGTGAGGTTGGATTGAGGCTACCTTCCCTCCTTGAGGCAAAATTGAGGCTAACAGATACACTACGCAGACAATTGTCACTGTGCCAGCTGTCAAGTAGTTGCTGAGCAGCAGCAGCAGTTAGATGAAGAAAATGAAGTTGAGGAAGGAAATGTATTAGAGCTGTTGGCTAGAGTAGGCCCCTTACTTCTATGGAGCTCTCTGGCCAACTGCTCTGGCAATGCTCTCCATGGGGATTGGGCCATGTAATATCACATGATCTGATATCATGCCAAATTAGACTCTAAACTATAAAGTATAATAAAAATGGAACAGTTTGAGAAAAAACATTTTTCGTTACTTGGAAAGAGAATACTTACTCAGCTGTCAGCATAACGAATCAGACGTACCTTGATCTTATATGTACTTGTGACGGTCTTGTTTTGTATTTAACTCTGCTGAAGAAGCAATTCCCTAATGCTGAAATCGTCACTTATTACCTTGGAAGTGATCAGAATGAGCAACTGTTTGCATTTATTCGGGTTTCTTTTTCATCTGGTCGCTCAAGAAATATGGATGCGATAACTATGGCCCATGGAATGGAGAGAAAGAATGTGTACAGTGCTTTATCATTACATGAAGACACATCTGCAATTGCACATGCCGGGGAAGTACAGTTTTGCATCCTACAGTTCACCTCAAAAAGGTTAAATCTACAGGCCAGAAAGCAGAACGAGTGAATTGTGAAATGGACTGGTGGTATGATAAGCCTAGGCAAGTTGGCAAAAACGCTGGACAGGGCATCGAGGGACTGCATTCGAGAAGGGAAAAGAAACAATTTCCCTGTGTTCGCCGCAGTCGCAGATCCTGAAGAACGGAGTGGGAAGCCAATCGTCCATGGCCAAGAACTTTCTTGGGAAGCTGTAGATGATGAAGCTGGATGCCTCGAGTATGAGGACGACTTAGCTTATGAGGTAGAACCTGGAGTTGATGATTGTGATGATGGAGAAACAATATCAACAGATAAATATGGAACACTATCCTTCCGGTCTTTTGAGACACTCACGCTCAATGGAGGAAGAAGCACTTTATCAACAAAATCTCGTCTTTCAAGATTCAAGGGGGACGCGTTTGGAGTGTCTTCTGATGTTCGCATATATACAATCAACCTGAATGCGGATGTTCAACAGTTTTGAAAGCTGGCAGTACAGAAACTCTTAAAGTCTTCAAATCTCAGCAGAACTTTGCAACAGGAGTGGTTAGATTTATTTCTTATAATCATGCCCGATGAAGTACTACTGCCAGGAACATAGCCTAATCAATGGATCTCCTAATGTATGGCTACTCGTCGAAGACAAATACATCAGATGCATTGTTCCTTGATGACATTCAAAATCGTTGTGTTGTCAATGTTTGTATTCTTGAATAGTGAAATGTTTGGTATATATTTGATATAATACATTTCTATTTTCTTTATTTAGTTATTTGTCATATGAATCTTTGACGTTAACGATCATTCCAAGCGTTATAATATAATAATACCTTGGCTATTGAGTGCTGAGCGCGATAATTCCCGACAGCTTGCTGGAGGGAACGCGCGGGCACGAAATTGCCAAGGTGTTATGTATTATAATATTTTCCGGTTCCGAATTGGAAGGGGTGTAATCCGATACGTGCGCATGATACAATATAGTGTCTAATATATAGAACGCCAGTGTTATTTGTTTTACAACTTGCCGCCAGCCAGTCTGAGGTCTATGCTGATAATACCTTGGCTTCCCTTGCGGGATATATCGGCAAATTATCAGCTCTCAGTGTCCGAGACTTTTAGTGGATATAATTCCCGGAAGGTATTATAAAGCATGAAACATGTCTCTTATTCAAGTACTAATAGTATTTGCGAATCTAAAGTCATCCTAAAGGTCAAATATGAAGACCTAAATTAATGGCATAAATTGGCATAAATGGAGAATTGGCCAAGCTAAATTTCCATTTATGCCATGAAATTTCTATGCCATTTGACGATTTTTATGCCATTTGTCTCCATTTTATGCCATTGGTACCCCCCCCCCCCCCCCCCCCCCCCCCCTTATATCCCGAACATACCACTTAAATAATACTGGGGCTGGACACGAACCTACAAATTACAATGAAGAGATTTCAGTGATGCACGCCGCCGCTGGACGCCGCCGCGCCGGCACATTTTCACACGCCGATACCTCTCAAGTCGGCGTGGCGTTAAAAGCTATAAAAGAAGTAAAGAACATGATGCACGCTAATTGAGACACCCGTATAGTATACCGTCAATGGGACTGCATTATATTGCTGCTTTTTTGTAACTACATAGTATTTGTGACCAATTAAAATTCAAGTAGAGGTTATACAAAGTTTTTCCCTTCTAAATGACACTTTACAGTCGCCCGATTTTGGATTGTTTGATTAACCTTCGAAACGCTTCGCAGATACAAAAAGACGGTCAGTACAAGCAGTCTTTGTAGGCCTGGAAATTCAAACCTAAATTTTGACAAAATTATGTTCCACGCCGCCGAACGCCGCCACGCCGGGCCATTTTGGGCACGCCGCCGCCGGTTGGCGAAAAATGAACCGGCGTGCATCACTGAGAGATTTTGGAAGCTTTTCTATGAAGTGAACTTCGAGAAAAGCGTGTTAAGGAGAAATGAGTTCCACGTTCTAGGCGTTATCTTTCCAAATGTTTAACTTCTAATTTTAATTAAACTTTAAACTGCTTGTCCCAAGTATAAGACTAACTACTCTAATCCTCTGTGTCGTCTTTCTTAAAGCATAATATAGAATTAAAGTTATTCTTCCAGTACCCACAATCGCATGGTCCTCTTGGGTAACCCCTGTATTATTCACCTATAAAACACACAGGTTCTATTGGGTGACCGACAACTTCACTCAATTTGTTCCCACACAGTTAATAGGGCACCCAATCAGCCTTAATCCCAAAACGACAACTTCATCCTGGTCATATTATAATTGCACCCAAATACGGCAACTTCACCCAACTACGACAACTTCACCCACACGTCAGATTTTCAAGTTGAGGGGTTGCCTTGGCTCAGATCATTAACACCGTGTTAGGTAAGATGAATAAGTAAGCCATAATAAATAGAAACGATGAAAACTTCCCGGCACTGATTATATAAATATAGACTCACACAATACTTGAAGATGACTTCAGTGGCGACGGAAAAATAAACCGTAACGTTGAATAATTGTCACTGTCTAGTTACCTGTCACTTTTAACAGAGGTATTAAATTAACTAGAGCCAAAGTATAGTCTGTCTGTCTGTCTGTCTGTCTGTCTGTCTAGTTTGTCTGTATGTCTGTCTGTCTGTCTGTCTGTCTGTCTGTCTGTCTGTCTGTCTGTCTGTCTGTCTCTCTGTCTCTCTGTCTCTCTGTCTCTCTGTCTCTCTGTCTCTCTGTCTCTCTGTCTAGTTTGTCTGTCTGTCTAATGCCCCCAATATTACAGACACTACAACTGGTTGAACTGAAGGCTCTACCCCCTCTCTCTAACATGCTGACAGTACAGGATCCTCGTACTGTAACTGTGGCTCTGGACGGCATACACAACATTCTCACTGCTGCTAACAAGGTCATTAATTAGTTAATTGGTTAATTATGTCATTTTTGAGTGTACAATACGGTAAATTTTGATTTGATCATCAAAACAATAATTATTAGATAGACGTTACGTATAAGTTGGCCCTAAGTTTCCCGTCCAATTAACTAATTATGAATTACAGTTAATGCTTGCTCGCCTTTAGTTCGTCCTGCAATTTGATCACAAAACATCCGATCAATGAGGTAATTAAAACGTTATCTACCCAGATATCAGAGGAGGTATGCAGTAAAGTAGCTATTATGCTTGAGGAATGTGGAGGATTGGATCTGATAGAGAAACTGCAGGAACACGAAAACGAAAGTATCTACGCTAAATCCGCCCTGGTATGTTGGACCAATTCATCGCAATCATCACACAACTTTTACTGTTTAAATACACATTGATAACATGTTAAATTTAACATGTTAATCACACAAATGCCAAAATTTTAGTCTGTGCATCAGGGACACAAATTTTCGCATTAAATAATTGAACAATCAGTGAACACATTTTCTCGTAAGAAGTAGGTAGAGAGTGAGATGTATGATAGTATTGTGTCAAGAATCAAGGTATTAAATTTGATTCCGAATTAATGACACTTATAGATATTTTCACTTGCTCACATGGTGTCTTATCTCAGATAATAGAGTCGTTCTACAAAGGTGAGGACGGAGAGAACGAGGAGCTCCAGCCACAGGTTACAAACGGACAATATCTCTTCAACGCCCCTACTAATAACACTGGCAAAATATCCTTCTAATCGACTAATTGGCTGATTAGTTAATTGTTTAATTGATTAATTAGTTTAATTGGTCAACTAGTTGGTTTTTGTTCTCCAATCCAGCAGAGTGTACCCATCGCTGACGATAGATTTTCATGTGTTGAACTTCTTGTCGCAGTTATGTGACTTTTTAAGAATTTATTTGTTATTTGATAGAATTTTTGGTCGGTTCCTATATTTTTATTTTTGGGCAACGGTATTTTCTAGTCTTCATGTGACTAATCCATTGATTTGATAAATTTTTACTGAATTTATTTTTAGTTATTTTTATGTTTCTAAGATAGGACTAAATTTGAGCGTGTACTGTTTCCTTATACAATTGGGGTGCAGTCTTCAGCATGTAAATTAACACTATGACTAATAATATGTTAAATAGTTTTTCATTGTAGCAAGCCGTGAATATTTCCTGATACCCTATCGTTGTTTTTAGAACAACAAACTTAAAAACGTGAAATTCCATTTTCTGCTCTTGCAGATTGTTGAGAAGTGAAATTGATTGAGAGTAAGTTGTGAAGTGAAATTGAAGGAGATACTTATTCCAAGTTCTTAACAGATCTTGATGATTGATAATTGATGAATAAAGAATCCTCGAGATTTGAGGTTGGATGATAGTTGTTATGGCGAATTATCTTATTTGTTTTTAAAGGACAAAACTTGTTTTATTTCCGGATAAAGGATTATTATTGCCCCCCCCCCCCCCCCCCCCGCTTCCTACACCCTTCATGTTTACGCAATAGGGTTAGTCGACTTAGATCAAACCCAAATACATGTAATATATTAGTCATTAGATACAAGAGAAACGCCAGGCGGTGCTACTAGGACTCCTCAAACATATACTCAATACTATGAGTATTATCAATTATAAATATTTACTGGCTGTCTTGTAGGTTTATAAGGATGATGATTAATCACCCTACACTCGACTGTCACGTAACTTTTTCAACCCGTTCTCTAGATGACCCTGTTAGGAACCGACCGGAAATCCGGCTGAATCCGTTTCCGGCCGGATATCCGGCTTCAAAATCCGGTTCCGGTTCCGGCTCCGGCTGGAAAAAAATTTGCCGGATTTTTGCCGGATTTAGGTTTCTTACCGAAAAAAATCAAAAAAATTTGGGGGGGGGGGTGTCATGTCCGTCTATGTCCGCCTATGTCCTGTCCTTTTTGGATTCTATGAGACAACGGACGTGTTTTTTGGGACATTGGCGGACACGGACGGACATTGGCGGACTCGGACGGACATTGGCGGACTCGGACGGACATTGGCGGACCCGGACGGACATTTTGAGGACAGAAGAGTACTGAAGAGTACTGAGGAGGATGGCTGAGAAGGATGGCTGAGGAGGATGGCTGAGGAGGATGACTGAGGAGGATGACTGAGGAGGATGACTGAGAGGGAGGAGAAGGATCAGGAAGACCCAGGAGGAGGAGGAGGAGGAGGACCCAGAAGGAGGACCTAGGAGGAGGAGGAAGAGAACTGAGGAGGATGACTCAGGAGGAGGAGGACTCAGGAGGAGGACTGAGGAGGACTGAGAAGGAGGAGGACTGAGGAGGACTGAGAAGGAGGAGGACTGAGGAGGATGGCTGAGGAGGATGGCTGAGGAGGATGACTGAGAGGGAGGAGGAGGAGGAAGAGGAGGAAGAGGACTGAGGAGGAGGAGGAGAAGGACCCAGGAGGAGAAGGAGGACCCAGGAGGAGGAGGACCCAGGAGGAGGACCCAGGAAAAGGCCCCAGGAGGAGGAGGAGGACCGGGGAGGAGGAGAACTGTTGAGGACTGATGAGGAGGACTGAGGACGAGGAGGAAGAGTAGGAGGAGGACTGAGGAGGGGAGGAGGAAGAGGACTGGGGAGGATCAGGAAGACCCAGGAGGACCCAGGAGGAGGAGGAGGAGGAGGACCCAGGAGGAGGAGGAGGACTGAGGAGGACTGAGGAGGAGGACTGACGATGACTGAGAAGGAGGAGGACTGAGGAGTACTGAGGAGGATGGCTGAGGAGGATGGCTGAGGAGGATGACTGAGGAGGATGACTGAGAGGGAGGAGGACTCAGGAGGAGGACTCAGAAGGAAGAGGAGGAGGACTCAGGAGGAGGACTTAGGAGAAATGAGAAGGAGGACTGAGGAGAACTGAGGAGGAGGAGGAGGAGGAGGACTGAATAGGAGGAGGAGAAGGAGGGGGACTGGGAGAGGACTGGGGAGGAGGAGGACTGATGAGAAGGATGAGGAGGAGGACCCAGGAGGAGGAGGACTGAGGACCGAGGAGGAAGAGGAGGAGGATGAAGAGGAGGAGGAGGACTGAGGAGGAGGACTGAGGAGGACTGAGGAGGATGGCTGAGGAGGATGACTGAGAGGGAAGAGGAGGAGGAGGAGGAGGAGGACTGAGGAGGACTGAGAAGGAGGAGGAGGAGGAGGACTGAATAGGAGGGGGACTGGGGGAGGACTGAGGAGGAGGATGGAGGACTGAGGAGAAGGATGAGGAGGAGGACTAAGGAGGACTGAGGACTGAGGAGGAAGAGGAGGAGGACCCAGGAGGGGGACCCAGGAGGAGGACTCAGGAGGAGGAGGAGGACTGGGGAGGAGGAGGACTGATGAGGAGGACTGAGGACGAGGAGGAGGAGTAGGAGGAGGACTGAGGAGGGGAGGAGGAAGAGGACTGAGGAAGATCAGGAAGACCCAGGGGGAGGAGGAGGAAGAGTAGGAGGAGGAAGCATCTAAATGTTATTTCCATTTTTGTCCGTTTTTGTCCATTTTTTTCCGTTTTTGTCCGCTCTATTTTTTGTCCGTTTTGAAAATATAGGGTACCGAACGGACAAAAAACATGATCCCCCTATAACAGCAAAAATTGAACATTTTATTAAGCAATTTAGGTGTCCATTAATGTCCGCCTATGTCCGCCTATGTCTGCCTATGTCCGTCTATGTCCGCCTATGTCCGTCTATGTCCGCCTATGTCCGCCTATGTCCGCCTATGTCCTGTCCTTTTTTGGATTCTATGAGACAAGCGGACATAGACGGACGTGACCCCCCCCCCCCCCCCCCCCCCCCCCCCCCCCCCCCCCCCCCCCCCCCCCCCCCCCCCTATAATGAATTAAGTAGCATTAATTGTTAGAAATAGTAATTTTCGAAAATTTTTCGGTCCGAGTCGTTCTCGAGACATACCTCCTGTATCGAGAGCTCCCGCTTCCGAACTCGTGTTGCAAAGGGGAGACCTGCCTTCCGAGATCACATTACCAGGGGAAACCTCTAGTCCAGAATTGTGTATCGAGGGTAGGTGCGGACTTCGAAAAACCGAAAAAATATTTTCGGCTAATAATGAACAGGGTAGCCTGAATCGTGGAAAAAAATGGTTTTCAGGAAAACTTTGAAAAATGTTGACTTAGAAAATTTTCGGTCCGAGTCGTTCTCGAGACGTACCTCCTGTATCGAGAGCTCCCGGTTCCGAGCTCGTGTTGCAAAGGGGAGGCCTGCCTTCCGAGATCACATTACCGGGGAAACATCGAGTCCAGAATTGTGTATCGAGGGGTAGGTGCGGACTTCGAAAAACCGAAAAAATATTTTCGGCTAATAATGAACAGGGTAGCCTGAATCGTGGAAAAAAGTGGTTTTCAGAAAAACTTTGAAAAATTTTGACTTAGAAAATTTTCGGTCTGAGTCGTTTTCGAGACGTCCCTCTTGTATCGAGAGCTCCCGCTTCCGAGCTCGTGTTGCAAAGGGGAGGCCTGCCTTCCGAGATCACATTACCGGGGGAAACATCGAGTCCAGAATTGTGTAGGTGCGGACAGAATTGGGTAGGTGCGGACTTCGAAAAACCGAAAAAATATTTTCGGCTAATAATGAACAGGGTAGCCTGAATCGTGGAAAAAAGTGGTTTTCAGAAAAATTTTGACTTAGAAAATTTTCGGCCCGAGTCGTTCTCGAGACGTACCTCCTGTAAAGAGAGCTCCCACTTCCGAGCTCGTGTTGCAGAGGGAAGACCTGCCTTCCGAGATCGCATTACCGGGGGAAACCTTGAGTCCAGAATTGTGTATCGAGGGGTAGGTGCGGACTTAGAAAAAACAGGAAAATATTTTCGGCCACCTCCCTGGGCTAGCCCCCGGCTATAATCGCAACATTGGCAGTATTTAATCTTCTGATTATGAAATACGAAATATGAAGGTCACGTGTTCAGTACAGGGTTTGGGTAGCTACTTAATTAGCTCATTACTGAGCTCTAGACGCCAAACGGTGATTACCCTGATTAGTACTGTACTAGACAGTGCCTGCTTGCGAACAACCTTATTAAGCACCTCTGGTTGTAAGTCACGTGACCCAATGATACTCAGACCTGCATGAGAAAAATGGGAATTCGCACAAACGCGCTCAATCAGGGGTCTTGCAGCATATGCCAATTAGATATCATTTCTGATAATTACTCGTCTAGTGTCGTGACTCGTGTCCACTCGTGTTACATTGTGTCTGCTACGTACTGCTTGTTTAAACAATGTCTAGTAGTAAATCTAAAACATCGTCCGTCTGGTTGTTCTACTCAGGAGAAAATGAGATCCCTTTAAATGCAAGCTGCAACAAGTGCTCGATGAAGATTAAGCGTGAAAAGGAAGGAAATTTTCCGGCAACATCCGGCAAAATCCGGCTGCCTTTTATGTCACTCTGAAACCACCGGTTCCGGTCCGGCAAAATCCGGCTTGCCGGATTTGAGATTCAAATCCGGCTGAATCCGGTCCGGCAGCCAAAACCCCAATCCGGTCGGTTCCTAGACCCTGTACAACTATTGGAAACCCTAACCGGGCGTAACCCTCTAATCTGATCCGAACCCTAACCGGAACCCAATCCCTAACAATAGCGTATACTGAAACCCTAACCCTTCGCCTGATCGAGACAGTTTTTCGCCAGGGGAGCATTTTAACCCTATGTCACCAGTCACGGGGGGGGGGGGGGGGGATTCGGAATCAATTCAAGTTTGTTTCAAGTTCAACTGTCCGGGGCCCTTTTAGAAAAATCGTTCACATATTATGTAATCAGCTGAGGGGGGGGTTTCAAATGATCACGCTAGTGTAATTTTGACACAATAAATATGTGTAAAACTGATTACGGAGGGGGGGGTAAAAATGTTCCAAAAAATGATGACGTAATATGTGAACGACCCCTTATAAAACCTGTCATTCAAACATTGTGTATCCAATCGGTGCATAAGTTATAAACTTAATTGACGATGTCGATTCATGGCAGCTCGGCGCGGCACAGTTAGGTAGTGCGTCATCGACAGTGAGCCGCGCGGGTTTGGGTAGCTACTTAATTAGCTCATTACTGAGCTCTAGACGCCAAACGGTGATTACCCTGATTAGTACTGTACTAGACAGTGCCTGCTTGCGAACAACCTTATTAAGCACCTCTGGTTGTAAGTCACGTGACCCAATGATACTCAGACCTGCATGAGAAAAATGGGAATTCGCACAAACGCGCTCAATCAGGGGTCTTGCAGCATATGCCAATTAGATATCATTTCTGATAATTACTCGTCTAGTGTCGTGACTCGTGTCCACTCGTGTTACATTGTGTCTGCTACGTACTGCTTGTTTAAACAATGTCTAGTAGTAAATCTAAAACATCGTCCGTCTGGTTGTTCTACTCAGGAGAAAATGAGATCCCTTTAAA